GTAGGATTTACTTTTCTTCCTAACAAATATCCTGAAATGCCCCTTATATGGTATTATAATGGTATTGAAAGTAGTGTTCATTCGAAAACAGTTAACGATTTTTTTGAAGGTACGGTTTTAATGCAGTCACATGCGACTTTTATTCATGTCAGTAGTTATTCTAACAATAAACAAGTTGTTAATTATAACGATTTCGAAAACTAATTATTTCTTTAATCCATTGCGTTAAAATGAATAATAAGCATTATTTCGTTTTGAACCACAATTTCCGGATATCTCACCTTTTTCTTGGGAATTATATTATATGTTGGACAAATAATTTCATTTTTCTTGTATTATTTCCAAAACTTTTGTTTGCGCGATATTATTGAAAAATGAAAAACCGTATTTCATGCAGTCTATGACGATGCAGTCTCAAAAAATGCAGACAATTATGTGGATTGTGAAAAAGAAAACCCTAAAGATCACAATAAGAGTTGCATCTTTAGAAGAGATGCTTTAGGTCCATGTGCTCAACCAACTTATGGTTCAAAGTCACCCTGTATTTATTTAAAACTAAACAAAGTATGTTAATTAACCACTATCTTTTAGGAAAACTATTTATTCTGATTTCTGTTATAGCATCCGGGTTGGGTACCAAAATATTATGGTGCTTTACCTGATAAAATGCCAGAAGAACTTAAAAAACTAATAAAGGCTTCCACAAACAGAAAGGTCCGATTTAGTTTTTCTATTTAATATGTCAGATAAAGTTAAAAAAATAAAGCTCCTCCTGTTTTCTTTGAAGAAAATATGGGTTTACTGTCACCCTAATAAACCAGCTGATGAAGATCATTTAGGGAATATCAGTTACTATCCCAATCAAGAAATTCAAGAATACTACTTCCCTTTTAATTTTCAAAAATATTATTTAAGTCCTGTAGTAGCAGTTCAAATAAATGATGTTGAGCGTAAGTTTGCATAAGGAGGAACTGGAACGAAGTAAAGATAGAGGTAGCTATTTTAAATTCAGGAGAGAAATAAAATACTATACCCGTTATCACGAATTTATAACTAATCATGTTACAGTATTATTCACCTCATTAGACACTTCTAATTCTCAATATTAATGATTAAAAATATTACGAAAAAGCAACTCTAAAAACAGAATTAAAAAAAAAATAATAAAGTGAAAACTGAATAAAATAATAGCAAATATCACAAAAGTTTTGCTAGGATAATCTTCATTATTAAAATTGAAAAAATTTAAAAAAGTTCTTTAAGCAAAAGAAAATAAAGTGGGTATTAATAAGTTACCGTTAAGCGTATGTTCCATGAACAATTACATTATCTAATATAGATTATTTTTATGCTCACATTCTAATTACTTATTCCGGTTCCTCCTTACCTAATCCATTTTACGAATTATACTAAAAGGTGACTATCGAAATCTCTATATGGTGGCACTGGTATGAGAGTTAGTGTTTGAGTATATCCAAAAGATACCATATCACTGAGAGCATCTTCAATACACTGACTAGCTAAGTTTAAATTCGACAGAACATATACCATTTGTGTATTATCTCAGTCACTCTTTACAGGCCAATTTCGGTAGTCTCCTTTACCTGTTTCCATTTAATTTAATTTTTAAGTTATTTTCCTAATTAAATTAAATTATTGCTAAGATTAATTAATGAATTTTTTAAATTTTTAGCGGGTTATCTAAGTGTTGTAAGGTGTTCAGTGTGGGCTGATAACATTGCACCTAAATTCCAATCTGTTTTGATTTCATTTTATATCGGATCCCCAAAATAATCAGTGTCAAGTAAAGATAATAGTAAATAACGTATTTGAAGTACAAAAAAAAAAACAAAATGTATTTTACCTTACGGTAAATAACCACTGCAATAAAATATATAATACTTCAGTAAATAATTTTAGCTTTCGGCGGCGATTACAGAGGTATCACTACTCGTTCTGGATGAGATTTTCTTTTCAAATTCTCTGAACTCTTTGGCTATTTTAGTTTGGTATTCTGGTAATGTGTTCTCTTTTATACACTCACGAATTTTTTCAAAGAAGCGAAGATAATGATGAACATTGTGACTGAAATTGATAAAAAGCAATTTTTAACCAACAACATCATTTGCTGTTAATGTTATGCAGAATCATTTATAATTATTATTGTGGACGTTATTAATATATAGAATTCTTGTTTAATAAAGTTTTAAAATAATAATACTTTTTGAAGTTATTTTTTAATAACAAAATATTTTTTCTCATTTTGTTTAATTTAATAAACGGTGAAATAAGCTTTCACTATTAAACTATTAAAAAAAAACTATTAGACAACTATTATGGTCCAATAATGTTCTTAATATACATACATGGTCAGTAATATTGGTCCTAGCAACTCTTGCACTGCGAGTAAATGATGAATGTATCCTCTGGTGTGTTTGGTACATGCTAAGCATGTACAATTCGGTAAAATTGGTTTAAAATCATCGGCATACCTAAATAAAAAATCAAATGAAAGAGTAAGACAAATCTCCACTAGAAATAAATGCAACAATAAATATAAATTAAAAATTAGAATCATTAATGTATGATAAAGTCAAATGTAGCTTACTGTGATTCTCGCAAATTAATTTCGAATTTTTGTAACTTATCATCTGTTCCTAATGAAAACGTTAAAGCTGCTGATCGCTCAGTTACAATATAACAGTAAGATGTGTCGAAAATATCAATACCACATCCTACTAAGTGTAGAACCATTAGTGGATTCCAGCATCCTTGAACTATCCTAACTTTATCAACTGGAAGATTTTCCTGGAATCAATTTCATCATACAATTTATTTATTGCTATTAAACTAACTATACATTACAGTGACATATTTAACGACAGGTTTGACTTCATCAAATGGAATAAATTCTACTTCTGGTCCATTATTATGAAGTCCATCAATAACGTAGCCTCCAACATTTTCATTACTGGTGACCGCATCAAGACATCTTTTCCTTTCTCTAATACTATAGCCACCTGTTACACTCGCAATCACAAATGTATCTTTTAATATTTCAGATTTTGTATGCCTTTCCATGCATTTGTTGTAAAACTTTATTGTATTATCAACTGACTTGATAATTCGTTTATTTAAACTTGCAACATTAGTGTCACTATCAGTTAACATACAATACATATCTGGCTTATAATTCTCAATAAGATCCATGTACTTATCTGCATTTATCATAACTTTTCCACCTCTAGTCCATATAGGTATATTATCTTTAACATGGTGCCCTGATTGGGTCAATTCACCTGGGTCTTGGACGGTCATATATGATAAACAATCCTTCATTCCTTAAAATAAAAAGTAGTTAGTTAATACTTCTATATTTATAAAGGAAGAACAGTTAAAGAATGGTCTTAATCATTATTGAAACAACCACACATGGATCATATATAAAGTTAAAGGAAAATTAGTAAATTAGATAACATTTAGTGATTTTGCATATTTTGTCAATATAAATACACCTACCTACAAAACTTGCAATATTTCCTTCAAACTGGGACATAGCCTGGTGGAAACTATAAGTACTTGTAAGTGGAATTTGGATAATTTCTTGATTCTTAGAGATCATTTTAAATACTTCATGGGTAATATGGGGTAGGCTTCCTCCCTGGAAAAGCGCATTTTTCTTATAAGTTCATATATTGCAAAAATCCCAAGCATAAAACATATTTAAAAAAGGAATCAAAAATATGTAAACAATGAAAGTTGGAAATAAATTAAATATGTAATGCCAAATTCAAGAATAAAATATGTATATATATATGTAATGTTTAAAAGTATTAAAAATATTTTGTAGATGTAAGAAAATGTAGGTACCCTTGTGTACAACAATACCATTGGAGTTTGAAATCGAAAACTTGAAGGGCTATCATTACTGCAATATAGTTTTCCTAAACGGGGAGCACTTTTTACCGAGGTTTTTACAGAAAATTTCATTTCTATATTTTAAAATAAAAGCACCATATTTTTAGTTATCACTTTTTGCATTGGTTCATAAATTAATTATTAAAAATAGTCAAATGTCAACGAAAATTGCAATAAATGCAATTTTGTAGATTTTATATTTAGGTTATGGATTAAGCACGGAGGTTAGGTTCATTATATCCATAGATAATTATTATTGTATTATACCATAGCACGACATTGCTTTTTCATATTATTTCAAAAATACTTTATTCGAAATATGGTCGACTTTAAGTAGCAGGAAATTAATGTTACTGAAAATTTCAGCCTTTTTGAAATGTTTGTGTAATTACACGTACGTTAATTGACGGCCATGTGAATTCATCCATTGTTGGCGTTTTCGGCCATTTTACTTTAATTGTTGCCGTATTGCTACCACACAGATATGAGAGATATTGCCACCGTAGAGATAATATTCTAATAATATCAATAGATACCTATCATCTCTATGGTTGTCGGCCATTCTTTTTTAATTTTTGCTATATATATTTGCGATTATACTTATTGTTACAGTCGTCAGCCATTGTAATTTTGTAATTGTTGCAACATTACGATTATTTCGGCCATTATACTTTAATTAGCATATTGTTTAATTATTAAAATACTTTAAGCAAGATTTAATTTGAATGTATCATAAGTAGGTTACAACCAAATATTAAAAAAAAATGTTCTGAAAACGGCAATGCTTTATTTCAATAGAACTGAAATATAGGCAAAAAAATAATGTTTTATAAAAAATAAATTTTCACAATAAATATGTATCTGGATTCAAATTATTCGGAAGTAATTTTGTAATAACGTAAACCAATAGTAGCTACATTTTACAATGAATATTAAATACAGCCCTTGTTAGTTTAAATATTATTTTTTAATTACGATTTTTGCAAAATTTACTGAAGCAGAAACATCACTTATCTCTACCAACATAGTTTTTATTTTTATTACATCAACACTTCCAAATATACTATATCTAAATATAGCAAAAACGCGTGTTTTGCGCACCCCGTGGATTTATTGTTTACTTTTGTCCGCGCTCTTTTGCGGTGGCTAATTAAGCATGGCAAAACAGACCGGAAAATATCGTAGTTTATAATTAAAGGCAAAAACATTGCAACTACTATATGATTATTAATAATCACTTTCAAAAGCTAAAACTATATCTAATTCACCACAGCTACAAAAATAAATAATAATTACTATTTTAAAGCTTAGAATAGTCATCACCAACATTTTAGTTTTGAAATTATATGATATTTTTTAAACATGATACTTTTCATTTTTACATGTTATTTACAAAGGGTTTTATTGTAATAGTTACAAATAGTGTAATTTGTCGGTTATTAAATTCTGAATATAAAACGGCAGTATTCTGTCATATTAAGTAATTTTGCACTGGTTTCAAATATATAATAATTTAATTCACTAATCTACAGCACAACTTGTTAATTTTATAAAGATTCATTTTTTTTTCTTACTTTAATTATTTGTTTTTATACATTTATATTTGTATGTGTTTGATGTTGCAAGCCTATTATTTCGTTTGGAAAAACTGGTATTTGTATAAGTTATTATTAAATATATATTAGATACATATAAAGATAAAGTCGAAATATGAACTTCATACAGTTCAAACTGGAAACTACTGTTAATAAATTTTTGTTTTGTATAGACAATATAAAGGTTTCATATATTTTAAAATTCGTAACAAGTCACTTTTAAAAGTTTTCAAAAGTTTATTAATAAATTTCGTTTACCGGTTAAAAGATAAAATAGTATTGACCTAATATGTCTCACATTTAGGCTACATAAATGGTGTTCACTCCCTATGTGAAAAGCAACCTTATCTTGCCAGAGAAAAAACGTCGTTCAGTATAAACTTTAAGTTTATCATTAGGGCAAGTCTTAAAATAGTAGGTGTTTTTAAAACTCAAACTTTTTTACACGTTTGTAACACTCTACCAATCGGTAAGTGCGTAAATTTTGTGATTGCGACGGAAATGCGTAACCGGAAATACGAAGGTAGAGGCGCGGGCTATTCAATCGATGCAACTTACAGTTGACGTTTGAATAGAGGGAGAATATGAAGAAAAATAAGGCACAGCCGTCAACCGTTTGATCTGGTAACGTTGAACGTATTGAACAACATGAAATTCTGAAATTATTTTCCTCATTGTTGTACATCATTGACGACTATTGTAAGACCTGTTCTTTTTTTTTATTTCTCGTAAGGTAATGTCTCTGTTCACACATCGCATCTTATCATCTTTGCCTTTTTAAACGCTTAATTAATTGTATTTATAAGTGTATATGTACCTAGTTTTATTTATCGGTGATGTTGTAAACATTGTCACTAACATAATAATAAATAATGGACATCAGATCTTTCAGTTGTATGTAATATGGTATACTGGCAGTGTACTTTTTTTTAGAATTGTCCAGTCTTAGATGTAATAAACAAAAACAGCGTTTATCAACTATGTAATGTCGGTAGATTGCTTTTTATAAATAGCAGGAGATATTGTGTAATGAAAAAAAATTCCCATTATAAATTAAATAATTTTCTGGTGCGGAATTAAAAATGATGTCAATTCTTTTACGTTAACAGTACTTTGTAACTAATGATTTGCATATTTACTATTGTTTTTCTATTTGTTTGTTAAATTCATTTTATTGCTATTTTGGCATTTTATATTGTTCGTCCTGATTTATGTTTGAAACGTCATTTTTTCTTTCGTTGTACTGTATTTATCCACTCCGTAATAAGTCATTTAGGAAGACTTTTTGTTTATAAAATTTACCTTACCTTTTCTCAGTACATACTTAATACTTTCCAATGCGTTTCATTTTAAATACAAATACGTACAGATAATTTTAAAAGTTTGTCAGCTGATTGAAAAAAGGGACATAACGTACAGGATAAATAAGAGTTGGAAACTAAATAAACAAAATAAGTACTAATACCAATCACAATAGAAAACAATAAAACAACAACTTTCTTATTATAAAAAAAAAACGCACTTTAGACATCCCTCATTAATTCGAAATGAATAGAGCCCTCCCTTTGAAGATTACTACTGCGATAGTTGATGTTTTTCGCCCAAGCTCTGCATTCGATGTTGATAAGTACATTTGCTGTAACAAAAAGTTGTTTCTCCTTTAGATTTAATAAAGAATTGATTAAAAATATAATTAACCAATCTTTTATGGAAGCCAATAAGGAAAAGGAGAGATACATTGGTAGCACATCTTCACAGATATTTCAGAAGTACAAACAGGACTAAAGAGGGGAAGAAGAAGAGCAAGATTTTTGTTCGCAATTAGTTAGAAATGTAGGATGTTCCAAATGTCACATGTATATATGTACAACGTAGAGGTAAAAAACATCTTACTTGAACCTATATGTTATAACTTCTGAAGTAATTTTCTGGAAAAGAAACAAAACTCGTTTTCGAAAATAGTTCGATGCCACTACTAGGTAACACTTTAAATGTGTTCTATAAACATTTGTTTACCTTTACACTTTTTAGTTGCACATTAATATCGTAATAAAAATTTAATTATCTTAAGAACGCTAAAGACATGTCAGTTTGATGAAGGCCCTTATCATACAAGATTAATGTTTACTAATTTCGTATTCAGGCTTTTGTGTTATCCACTCAACCAATTTTGTCTAAAAATAAAGACTAAGGAGGTATCAACAAACGTGATAAATTAAGTAAACGGGGTCGTTCGATAGGATCGTCCTTTTTTCTTTTTTAATTGAAACATTGAACTTATATCAGAAAGTTGATTTGTAATAGAAACTTGCATGATTTTTTCTAAGGAATAATTGGTCCATTTCGATTTGGACCAGTAAAAGAAAGGACTTTTTCCCATTAATAGTAATACTTACATTAAATGTTCTATAAAAATCTGTTTACCAAATTTACACCTTTTTTGTTGCGCACTAATACCGTAATAAAAATTTAATTATCTTAAGAACGCTAAAGACATGCCAGTTTGATGAAGGCCCTTATCATACAAGATTAATGTTTGCTAATTTTGTATTCACGCTTTTGTGTTGTCCACTCAATCAATTTTGTCTAAAAATAGAGACTAAGCAAGTATCACCAAAAGCGATAAATTGAGTAAACAGGGTGGTTCGATACGATCCTCCTTTTTTTTAATTAGAACGTTTAACTTCTGATATCAAAAAGCTGGTTTATAGTGATAGAAACTTGCATTGATTTTTTCTGCGGGAATAACCGGTTTATATCGGTTTGAACTAGTAATTCGAAGGGCTTTTTCCCGACAGTACAACGGTACGAGAGGAAATATTGATTTTTCATAGGATTCTTCCATGTGGAAGGTAGTTGAAGTTTCTTGGAGCTTTGTATCTCAAAGGAAATGCCATTGTAAATTGACCACTCCCTGTCGGTGGCACTTCGCAACAGTCATTTGATAAAGCGAATTAGGCCAGTAAATGAACTTTGTATCCGGAAAATGTGGAAAATTCTCGTTTCAATTTTTCTGTGTCAAAACTATTTCATTAACTTATACAGGGAGTTTATGAAAATGTCTGTATGTTATGGTAAACGTTATTAATGTATAATTGTTAATTTTTATACATAATCACCCCTAAGTTTTAGCCAATGTGATGAATTCTGAAGGTGAATATTGCTCTAAACAAAAGAAAGTACGTGACTTGGATAACACTTACTTCGTTTGTGTTGCCTTTACCTACCGGAATCTTAGGATCCTAACCAATTTGTCAGTTGATTTGATAAATATTCAGGAATTCATCACAACTACCAATTATACTGGTGATTACAAACATAATAATAATCGTCTATTATGTATGCATAGTCAAATCACATTTGCCGTAATATATACATACATATACATGAAGTGACTATTTATAATTCCGACGCAATTCTATTTTTTCAGTCATTTCTTATTTGTATGCTATTAAGAGACAGACGACTCATGGAAAATGTATGTCTGTCCGCCTGTTTGTACGGGTTAATCTTCGAAATGTGGAGCTTTACAGACATAAAGAGAAGGTTGTTAGGAGTTGTCTAAACAACTTTTTTTAAATTGATTTTTGTACAAATTAACAATTGCGTTTATAATAGAGATGCACCGGATAGTGACTTTGCCGGGCACCGGATAACCGTGTACCCGGCATTAGCTGTAATTCTTAGTTCAACGGGAGGCTTGAGTTTAAAGTGTTGAAACAAGCCTACACTGTTTTTACACATTAAAAGTTTGGAAGGTGACATAATCATACTAATAAGTTATACTCAAAGAAAACCTGATACATCAAGGAGGGACAGAAACACAGAAACTGTCTGATTATACTGATGTTCACGAATAAGGGAACACAAGAACTACATCGAAATAAGAAGAAATAATTTAGAACAATAATCAATAAATAACCGACAAACGATCTATCTCCGTACAATTTTAATTACTAATTTTAGTAAACTCTTCTCTGCTAGAATTACTCGAACTCTTTATCGTAATAATTTTCAGATCGGCGGGTACCGGATCCAAATCGGGTGGCCGGCCCATCTCTAATTTATTATAAGCAATTAGAAAAAGTTTTACGCAGATCAAAAAACGCAGCTAAAAGTTAGCATACAATAAATGCATAAGTATTCAAAAAACAAGTAGGCACGTACTTTTATCCTTATCAAAACAAAACGATATAATTAGTTCTCTATTGTGTCGATTTTTAAACAGATATTTTATGTAGTGTAGGTAATTGTCAATGAAAGTTTAACAATGTTGAGGCACTTTGAAATTAAATGAAATATTTTATTAATATTGTTTTCTATTTACTAAGAAGGGCGTAAGAAACTGTTTTTATTGTCACAGTTGCTAGGTGTATCATTTGCATCATCATCACAATTCTGTCTGACCTTATTAACTATCCATTATTTGGGTGTATTTATTTATATTTAATGCAAACAAAGCATTTAACCACATTTTAGACAATAAGCAACTCTTCTTTGGTTTGGATTTCATTTGATATCAGACGTACTTGATAATTTTTTTTAAACTAAACTAAGTTACTTAAATACGAAAGCAGAAAATTATTTATTGTTAATCCTTCTTTCTCTATTGTGTTTTGGACTTCGATGTTCCCATACATACGTTTGTATCTATGTATATACCTACGTGCATTTAGCAAGTAACATAGGGTTGGAAAAAGGGGCTACAAATGAGGATATCAAAATTTAAAGGCTGAGTATAGTAACGTATGAAAGAGTTTAATTTTGGTTTAATTTATTTATCTTTGTGACCAAAAATACCTTTTTCGTCTTCCGATTTTCGAAATTTGCAGAATAGGGGGGGGGGAGATGTTGAGGATGACCTGAAACTAAACAAGTGTTTTTCTATAGGGGAAAAAGTGCCTCCACTACTACTTAAAAACACTTGTTTAGTGTTTTACAAGGCAATTTCTATCCTCACCATCGTTTATCCTTCATAGTGGGGGGCTACTATCATTTTCACAAATACGTTTTTCGATTTTCACTCCCTATACCACCACATCTTCGCTCCCAATTTGTTTGAATTGTGACCTTGAAGTAATCTGCGCGAAGATAGAAAGAATACACAGTAGGCGTGAGCAAGACAGAAATAGTTGAAACAAGCTTGAACGAGCCGAGCTCTCGATTGGCGGTCGTAGGAGATCGGCTAGAACTATACAGTACTAGGCGAAAATGTTTAGCAATTTTTTAAAATAAAAAATGTATATAAATAAACAATAGAGAACAAAGAAAAAGTTTTATAGGTGTGTAGAGCGTTAAGTTAACTCACTTGTTATTATTTTTGGCTAAATATGCTTGTAAATAAAGCATATTTTTAAATTTTAACGAGGCAGTTTAAATAATTTTGCAAATGGTACTGTACACTTTTGTCTAGCTCTCCCTCGATGATAGGTGAAGAAATGAGCTACGCAGACAAAAATGATTGAATTTGGAATTATGCTACGGCGCATCCTAATAAAGGGAAAGGACATATCTCCAACTTGTTGAAACGAACAGTAGTGTTCAACAAGGTCACATTCTCTTCCCACCTTCGTTGCTCTCTTCGGAGAGAGGGGGGTCCCATCAGAAGTATTATAGATATGGAGGATGTTATGAATTGTTAGAATTGAGAAGGAATTGGAAAGATTGGAACATAGGGCGTTATGGAAGCCAATAAAAAGTAGAGGAAGACATCTTCCCAGGTATAAAGGGCTAGTTAGACATATTAGAAGCAGAAACAGGAGTTAAGGGGTGTGGGTTGCCCTAGTTTATGAAAAATGTAAAGCTCGCTCAAATTAGGAAGTGGAAGTTCGTGACTAACCAGTTTTTGTGCTGAAGATGTTATGATGACGATATTGATGATGATGTTAACAAATTGGGATTTGTTGCTTCTGTACATTCCGGATACAATGAAGGCAATAAAATTTACTTACGTTTTGGATTGTTCAATTTAACTGCAATCAGAGGGCTGAGGTAACCTGGTTCGTTTGTATACGGATAAAAATAGCTCGGAAACCCGCGAGTTGGGTAGTATTCAAAGGTAAAAATATTCTCTTTGTCGGCAGGAAATTCACCATAGCAACTTATCCACACTTGTTTTAATTTTTCTTTCTGTAAAGTATAGAAAACAAAAAAAGAATAGCTTTTTCTCTTGTACATACGTAAGCATGTAAATTATTACCGAATTGGCATTATTCTTAATATACTCCACAAGGTCACTTGGCATATCGTCTGGTAAATTGTCCGGATCGCTGTAATATTCTGGTTGCCAACCATAAATCTGAAAAGAAGAAACACTTTTTTGTTTTCTTATTTTTTAAAAATCATAAACCGACAACTAATTTAATAATGGGTCAATAAATAACTGCTTTTTTTAATTTTTATTGCTGACGTGATTTCCGTTCAAGAATAAGCGTTGCCGGGGAAAAAGCAAGATTATTTATGCGTTGTCCATTGCATCATATATGATAATTACCCGGCAAACTGATCTACAATATCTAATTTCGTGTTCTCATTTTTTCAATGTCACTTCAAAGATATTTACTTACTTGCGTAAGTACTACCGATTACTACGTACTTATATATGTATTTTTCCGGTAAGAACAGATAATACTACTTGTTCGTAGATAGTTGGAAATCTTAGTAAAATATACGTAAATATAATTGTTTAACAGTACCTTACAGGGGTGAAAGGTAACTGCAGACTCGAGTGGTAAAAGGAAACAATTAAGTACGTATTTATATTTTGACTTCAAATATACTTTAAGGGTTTAAATTAACGTGTTAAAGAATAGGCGTATTGGCGGCCGATTGAAGGGGGCAGGATGAAGAACATTTTCTCCCCAAGAGAAAAATCGAAGTAAGAAATTTGCTTCTGAATATAAAAAACATAATAGTAAATAAATTCCTTCATTTTAACGAAAAAAAAAAAAAGAAAAACGAACTAAAGTGACTATGTTTCTATTTGGAAGTACGAAGTACAGAACTGTGAACAACACAGGTAATAGATAATTCATTTCGGAAGCTTCATTTAGAAAATAATGAATTTTCCACAGTACTGAAGAAACGTATATAGTGGATGCATTCAAGAATCTTTATAGGGGGGCGGGGGTCTAACTCATTTAGAAGAAGAGATCCTTTAAAGGGAGGGGCCTATTTCATCCAGAAAAAAAAAATTACGGATATTTGAAATTTTTGAAAATACTGATCCCTGTTCACGCTATTAGTTAATAACTTTACTAAAATTCAAACTATAGATGGTTCTTTTTTAGTTTTATTGATTTTATGTTAAAAAATTGAAAACTACCGACTTATTTTTAACAATAAGGATAAAATAGATAATAACAATCGACATAGATAATAAGAACCAACCAGCGAGGCCATCGTCCCACATATTATGTTTACGCATATCGGTATTTCTTATTAGAAACTAATAATGATAGAAAAATTTAACGTTTTGTAGTTATTATCATACAGAATATGCATGACCTTTTTTGTTGTTTTATCCTTGTTATAAAAATAACTGTCGATAGTTTTGCAATTTTTTAACATAACACAATAAAACCCTTTCTTATGTGTAAAACGGTGATGTAGTTTCTTCCTGAAGGCTGTATCCGATTTTTTACCAAACCCTGATTTAAGCGACGAAACCTGTCATATAAGAAATCCCATTTACTGTTTATTAATATTTTAATGTCGACTGTGTGGAAATTTAAACTCCAACCGAAGGAGACGGTGGAAACTACGTGGAGAAATAAATGCGATTTTATGCCCGGGAGGGACTATTATGCATTCAAAATAGAAGGAGGAGACTGTGGTAAATATTAATTAAAAAATTCACCCCTAATTACCACAAATAGCGAGACTTGATAATGCCCACGTGTGAAGTAAGCGAAACACGTGACCGCTAATATAAAATTTATTTGTGGTAATTAGGGGTGAATATTCCTTTTAATTTTTTAATTATTATGCATTCGTTTGTGAAATCAGGGAAAAATATCGTACTTTCGGTAGCGGTATGTAAAAAAAAAATTATTTTTAACATTGGAAAAAGGCAAAAAACAAACCCTGTATGCTGCCACATCGATATATTTAATCGACTCTTAAAAGTTTAGAAGAGTAGTAGTTTTTGCAAATTAAATGAAATTAAAAATCGGACGAACGAATACTGTTGATACTCTTTTCCTAATCTGTCTTGATCCGTATTACTTTTTGCATCCAATACTAAATAAAAAAAAATCTCGTATACCTACTAGATCCTATCCAGACATAATGTAATAAATTACGACTAGGAAGGATTCTCCGACTACATTTCAGGAATCCTCAATATATCAAATACCAAGTAAAGCATACATTTATTTATCATAGAATAGGGGCCAATATGATCACTTTTTGTACCGAGCATCGCAAATACTGAATTGCTAAGCTTATTGTCAGTTATCTTTCACTTATCAGCACTTGTCAGCTTTCAATTTCAAAGGTTTTCATTCGACAGTAAAACTAGATTTTTAATTTTATTATTACCTACCTGCTAGGTTTCGGAATAGTCGGTTATAGCAGGCCTTTTCTAGTTTTCAAGGCATAATTTACGTAATATATTTTTTTTCATACATTACTGAAAACTACTCCCTTGTACTCATCCATTAGCTTACACGTGCTAGATACTTAGAACAGCTAATTCGGAATTTTTATTTGCACACTTTTATCTATACCATATGCACATGACTGAATCTATTTATTCATTAGATTATGACACTGTAAATTAGAAATCACGAAAGATAAACAAAGAAAAGTGGTATTAAGAGAATTAATTATTATTACCTACGTATTTTTTTTTTTTTTAATTTCACTTGATACCTTTTACATGTGTGTGAATACTCGGAAAGATATTTCACGAAATATTCCTATTCGTAATAAAGTTGACTAATGGTATATAAATATATAATATAATAAACTACACTTGAAATTTCACTTATTTATTCTTCGATGTATATACGTATATTTAGCCTTCTTGGGGCATTTTCAGGGTTGCGAGTACCAAAGTTATATTTAATCGTTAAATATTAAACCTCTTATAGATTGCATTAACTTATGGGCTGTTACCACTTTTTAGGGCTCCGTGTATGTCCGAATAAAAAACAGAACCTTTATAAGATCACTCATGCATTTGTCTGTTCGCCTGTCACAGTCAATTTGCTCCGAATCTACTGGACCGATTAAGTTGAAATTTAGTACACGTATGAATTTTTGTGATTCAAACACGGACGCATAACGTAAATAAATTAATTTTGAACATAGGGGTCATTTTCGGGGGGCCAGTAGGAAATTAAAAAAAAAAGTTTGCAAACCGTACTGTGTGACATATCAAATGAAAGGGCTTCTTGCAAGCGTCTCAAATATATATTTTTATAATTTTAAAACAAATAGTTTTAAAGTTATTTAAGAAAATTAATGAAAACTAACCATTCCCACCCACCCCCTTAACTCCGAAAAAAAAAATACCGAAAATAGTTTTTTTGCTCATAGATTACAGAAAAATTAATAAGAATATTATGGCCTGAATATAACGTAGTAAATCTTTCAGCAATACAATATTGTGTGTAAAAATTTACATTTGCAGTTTGAATGTCTTTTACAACGTTTCAATTACAAGTTGGTTCTCGGGTTAGGGTTCCGTACGTTAGAATGAAAAACGGAACTCTTATAGGATCACTCGATCGTCTGTCTTTTCTGATTTATAATATTTCGTAGCTGTCTAAAATGTTTCGCCTTTGTATGTTATGGTGTAACAATTGGAAGATGTTTTTGTTATAGATATGCTTCTTTTCTATCAAATGAGTGGTAAGTCCAGACCAATGTGCCCTGTACCTACTATTGTTATAACGTACAGTATAGTACTTACCTTATTTAGTTTGAGAAAGACACAGGGTGACGACGAATTATATCCATATTCGTTGGTGGGACTGCAAGGACCGAAGGAGTCCAAATCAACAGTACATACTTGACCGTTTTGTGGGGGTCTGTCGAAATCACAGTTTACTTGATTTTGTTTATTAACTTCCACTTTCTTCTTGTATGCTGTAAAAAAATTTTCATCTTTGCTGGAACTTTACAAACTTGAAATTTGTTCAATAAGAAGGTTTAGAAAGTGTTTGCTTATTGTTGATACGGGCAAGGTGGGTGGTTTTTCTTAGTATTTATTACTACAAATTTTTAAATGGACTTGTTTGAAAACGACAAGGGAGGTATACTAAAAAAAGTTATTTCTAAAATTTTCATACTTTCATTGAATGCATTGAAATTGTTTCATATACAACGCAACGTTCCCTATCGGGGAAGAAATCGTCCTTGAAATCAGGAAAAAATATACTTTCAGGGTAGGGTTATGATAAAAAGTCGTTGGGAAGAAAGGACAAAACCCACTTCGGAGAGTTTTGGCAGTCCTTGTCTTTGGTAAGTGTCCAGTTTAGACAGGCGGCAAGAATTCAATAAATAAAAAAAAATATTACTGCAAGTGTAAACGATTAAGCGATAAACAAGTCATTTTGGTTTTTCTTAAGGCGAATGAAGACAAAAGTATGACAAATACTTGATACACTGTTAGTATTAAATCGCGCTGCATTCTGGTAAGCCGCATTTAAGAAACGAAACATTCAAAGATAAAATTAGCAAAGTAAAGCTGGAAAAGCGCCAGTGGAATATTATAAGTATAGATATGAATAATTCGTACCCATTGATATGTACGTCCGTTTTAAAAGTTTCAGTTTTCCTGTTACCTGTTTGCTTTACATTACATGCTAAGAACTTTTCGTCATTAACGCATGATAAAATAAAAATGGATTTTGTTTTTTAGTCTTTTACAAAAGCCAGGTGCGCATAAACCGAAGACTATCCAAATATAATTATTTTATAAAAGTCCACAAATCAAATTTTCGTAATAATATGTAATTAAGGGTTGTTGCAATGATCGCTATTGAATTAAAAATCAGAAAATATTTTTCGAAAGGTTTTTTATATTATTTTATTAAGCATATCTTTTTGCATAATACAAAATTGAATTGAATTAAATCGATGTCGCCTAATTTATCGTATTTTATTCGACAAATCTTTTCATTCGATATTGATATCAAGCTGTTTATGATGACAAAAATAATCCGCCCTCTTGGAGTGTCCGTAATACTGAATTTAGACTAATTTTACCAGATAGTTTACATCTACGTATTTTTTATTTGACTACACATTTAGGCAAACTTTCAAAGCTCTAGCTGACAAAGAACTTATTGATTATTTTTTCTCGGCAACAGAGAAATGTTATTAAGAGTATTAGCTTCAGGGAAAATTGAAACATGATACATTTATGAAGGGGAAAGCTATGACGTCATTAAATCCATAAACACAAACCCAGGTTTCTCACACGGATTAAATTTAGTGACTCACGAAAGTGGTTAAGGATTATATTTTGTAATTCACGAAAATTAATTTTAATTAATCTTTCTTTTATTTTTTTGACATTCCTGTAAGATTCGCGTTCAAAATAGCATCTTATATGTATCGGTTCTTTTTGGGATAAGTAGATATTTTCTTCTAACTTACCATCGAAAAATTGGTCTAAAAGTTTCACCCATTTCTGAATACTTGTATTATTCTTAGAGTCAAACCATATAAGAGAACCTTCTTCCGTTTGATTTGATATTGGTCTGAACCCTATTCCAGGGTTTGTGCCAATTATACTACTGTCCAATGTCCATCTAGGCGATTTGTCGTTTAATGTCGCCAGCAAACCTTTCATACAAATCGCGAAGAAGGCAGCCAATATCGCGTAGAATATCGTGTAGAATAATAATAGCTGAGCTGTAACAATAAAAAAAAATAATTGATGCGGATGCAATAAGTACAATAAACCGTTACAGAGTTTTTTCGCAAAAATTGGAATTACACGGAGAATTTGCCGTAGAAATAGTAGAATTTATTAGGTAACTTGTAATAATCTCAATTTTAACATATTTCTTTAAAAATTATTTCAAGTTTCTTACTTATTACAATTAAATGTGTAATATCAACTAAAATACCTAGTAAATTTATTTCTGCTGGGATTTTATTTTTACAAATTCGGGTCCAAATTGTAATTTTTATTATTTTCGCTTACGAAGCAACGGGCCAGTGGGGTAAATTGTAGATATCGCTTTGATATTTTGGTAAATTTTCGTTTTTCATTTTCTCCGTGTATCACTACACATTAATAAAAGCAAAAAAGTAGTTGACACACTAAACGATTTTAACATATAAGAAATATTTAATTTTAAACTGTAAATTAATTTGGCTCTTACTTTCCCTTTTGCCATTTCCAGTTGGTCATAAATTATTTTAGGTAGTCGTAAGTCATAGCCTTTAATAACTTCGGTTTATACGTACAGTAAATGTCCTCTACGTTAATACCATTTTTTATTAATTATACGTATATTCACCGTATAAAATGCGAGTAATGTGAAAAATTAGCGGATGTTCAATTCCGCACATTAGCTTTATTATATTTACAACCGGAAAATTTTATTTCGCGGCTGATATGTGAAAAATAATATTAATGTGTTGTATTATGTAAAGTTCAAGGCAATTAAGGGCTGGAAGTTTTCTATATTATGTACTAGTTACAAGCACTGAACTATTTGGATTTTTTTTTTACATAACTAAAGAACCTACCCTGAAAAAGTCTCCCAAATAGTGGCGAAACGTTGTTGTTGGTTCTTCAACAATAAAAACCTTCCAACCCTTATTTCCCTTGAACTTAATATTATCCAAACTAAGGGATGAATTGGAGAATAGATTAATGTATCGTTACAAATTAAATATGTACCTACATATTCGGATGATTAAATTAATAAAATATGAAATAATTGTGAAATTTTCTTGTACAGAGAAAAACTAAATGTTTTTGATTATTAATTAACACTAGTGCGTCTTCAATTTGAACATATTTACTTTTTAATAAGGCGTATTCTGTTTAATAAAAAGTTTAACTATCTTTTTTTGAAAAACAAACATTTTGATATATAGGTAATGTGAAATTCTTGAACGATAAAATTCGTACTTGACCCAAAAATTTCCAGTTCAACAACTTAAGACAGATTAATACCTATACAATAGTTTAAGTTGAACTAAAATCTATTATTTTTTTTTTTAATATATTAATTTCTAATTTTATGTNATATCGCTTTGATATTTTGGTAAATTTTCGTTTTTCATTTTCTCCGTGTATCACTACACATTAATAAAAGCAAAAAAGTAGTTGACACACTAAACGATTTTAACATATAAGAAATATTTAATTTTAAACTGTAAATTAATTTGGCTCTTACTTTCCCTTTTGCCATTTCCAGTTGGTCATAAATTATTTTAGGTAGTCGTAAGTCATAGCCTTTAATAACTTCGGTTTATACGTACAGTAAATGTCCTCTACGTTAATACCATTTTTTATTAATTATACGTATATTCACCGTATAAAATGCGAGTAATGTGAAAAATTAGCGGATGTTCAATTCCGCACATTAGCTTTATTATATTTACAACCGGAAAATTTTATTTCGCGGCTGATATGTGAAAAATAATATTAATGTGTTGTATTATGTAAAGTTCAAGGCAATTAAGGGCTGGAAGTTTTCTATATTATGTACTAGTTACAAGCACTGAACTATTTGGATTTTTTTTTTACATAACTAAAGAACCTACCCTGAAAAAGTCTCCCAAATAGTGGCGAAACGTTGTTGTTGGTTCTTCAACAATAAAAACCTTCCAACCCTTATTTCCCTTGAACTTAATATTATCCAAACTAAGGGATGAATTGGAGAATAGATTAATGTATCGTTACAAATTAAATATGTACCTACATATTCGGATGATTAAATTAATAAAATATGAAATAATTGTGAAATTTTCTTGTACAGAGAAAAACTAAATGTTTTTGATTATTAATTAACACTAGTGCGTCTTCAATTTGAACATATTTACTTTTTAATAAGGCGTATTCTGTTTAATAAAAAGTTTAACTATCTTTTTTTGAAAAACAAACATTTTGATATATAGGTAATGTGAAATTCTTGAACGATAAAATTCGTACTTGACCCAAAAATTTCCAGTTCAACAACTTAAGACAGATTAATACCTATACAATAGTTTAAGTTGAACTAAAATCTATTATTTTTTTTTTTAATTTATTAATTTCTAATTTTATGTGAAATTATTAGATAGGACGTGAAGTGAAAGAAAACTGATTTAATTTTCGTCTGGTATTTTCCATTGTTTTTTCGATCACGAGCAAATTTCGTTCAAGTTTAAAAGATAGAATTTCTAATGCAAGAAGTTTTATAATTATCAGTTTCTTAACGCGTATGACACAACAAATTAATGCAAATGTGACATTAAAATAAATTGAGCTTAACTTACGTATTATACCGAAGATGCAAAATGAAATTTAATTAGGTATATATACCTATGTGGTACTAAAGATGATACATGCGATGTATTCTCGTTAAAGTAAAGATATTAGAACTAGAGTTAGGTAATCAAAGGTCACTCAACTTATACAGTATATATACACCTAAGTATATGAATTTCAAGTTCAAGATTACAATGAACTATCTGCATGTATTATACAGCAGTTGTACACAATAACCCCAGAGGCACTTTGCGTCGGGCCTCCACCTTATGTGGCCCCACAAGTGGCTCCGCTTGTGGAAATTGTAAAATTTAGAAATTTTTGAGAAGTTTTAGATGTTTGAATTTTATTTCTCCATGAATAGGGGCTTCAAAAAAAGTCATTAACGGGGCTGCAAATGCCCAAGGTTCAAGCCAATTTTAATTCGTATATCACGGCGAGTTGTCGAAGGTGACATGTGTTGTGTTTTCGTGAAGTGTCGGTTCCTTTTTAACCAATTTTCTAATTTAGACGTGCAAAATTTCGGTCTTTATAGTAGTTCAAGACAATTTTATTTTGTATGATATAAAAGTCCAACAGGGTGTCATAAATAACACGTGCTTTGATGCTTTTATCGAGCCTTGAATATCCAAGATCTGCTACACTGTCTGGGCTGTTGCTAGATTGTGTAATCAGGGCAGCATTGAAAAAATCAGGGCGGGTTGAATGGCAAATTTTCCACATTTACGTTACGTTTATGCTAATTGTGTTTGTAGCAGGTATTATATAAAAACAAACATATTGAAACGGTAACTTTTTAATTTAAACGAATTACGTGTAAGCGTTTTAAATAACGCAAGTAATCAGTGGTGTTGTGCTAATTTTTTTTTACCGGAACGCGTATATATAATTATATAAAAAGGGCCGATCCTGGATAGGCGGCCGCTCTGTGCGGTCTCACGTCCCAAATTTGACGACGACGGGGGGGCGGGATTTCCCCCAATTTTCGCCCGTCGCCAGGATCGGCCCTGTTCACGGTTCATAAAAACAAGCCGGTTCGTTCCGGTTATTGTTCCGGTTCGGGTTCGGTTCAAACCCTTGTTTATAATGATACATATAAAAATTCGTCAAAAATTAGAAAAAAAATCAGCAATTCTTTTTAATTTTTTTTCAATACGTCAGCCAATTCTCGTTATCAGAAATCATCTTTAGTTCCGGAACGCGTTCCTGTCCAAAAAGGAAGTACCGGAACGACAACACCACTGCAAGTAATTAATACACATTAACACCACCGAAATTTATTCCTTTTGTACAATTTCAAAACATTAAATTACTAAAAATAAAGTTACTATTAATAGAAGTTGATCGGTGGGTATATTTAACGGAGGTGTCAGGCCTCCGCTAATATGCGGGATTTGTGTGAGTGAATCCATCATTTAATTTGTAACTCACGCAGTAAATTCTTTAAAAGTCTGAATATAATAAATAGTAGAAACGAAACACTTGCAGAAGTTTTCACAGTGTTCTTCTTTATTAACTTTATATTATTTATCATAAAGTTAATAAAGAAGAACATTGTGAAACTTCTCCAAATATTTAGTTTCTATTATTTAGTCAATGTTTCACCAAGAGTCATCAGCGAATTGCTATCTTAATCAAAACACAATATATAATAAGTATAAAGGATATTGCGATTATTAAAAATGTAGAACCAATTTTGTTATTTACTATTTCATTACCTAATAAAAATACGTTTTTATAATTCCCAATTCTTTTATTGTAATTAAAACTGCGTACAAATACATTGCAAGAAGAGTAAGTCAATTTCTATTTGAAAACTGTATCAATCCGAGTTTGTCCAGTAATAACATTGGTATGCAGTCGCAAAGAGCGACTCTAAAAGCAAGTTTTTTAGCTCCGTTTTTCAACGAATTGCTATTCAAATGATATCAACCCTTAATGATAAATTCTCCATATCTTCACGTATTTTAAATTGTGTAGAACACAAAAGCTAGTAAGGGATAAAAGTTTCTTTCGTTTCTAGAAACCACCTCGACATTTCTCCTTGGATGTAGTCAAAAACCTACTTCTTTGACTTCACGTTGACTTTTTCCGATAATTTCGAGTTTTTTGCACTTATGCATAAATAAACTCATGCAGTATTCGACTAATTTTAATAAGATTAATTCTGCTTTATAATTTTATCAGTCTTACTAGATAATTGGGAACATATTATTCGCCATAATGGGTAGGAAGTATAAATATTGTCCAGATGATTAATTACTTTGGTTGCAACATAACGCGATATATGCGAAAAGCTCGACTTCAATTACTTATTGTGGCGCGCGTTTTTTTGGGGGGTTTCCCTAACTTTATACACTTTCAAACACGGAGACGGTAAATATCGAGTCAATTCCAATAGGTATATCGATGAATAGGGTGA